AGGCTTTCTCTGTACTTTGCATTTGTTCTGCATGTAATCTTTGGTAAATCTTTGGCGATGCCCAAACATGTAAAACAGAGCAGTACCAGTGGGAAAACTGGGGAGGCGCTGTTGTGCAGTATTGTTCATAAAAAAGAACAAGACAGAAATGGACTGATTTCTGAGCAGGGACTTTATCACCACCATCCCAATTTTTGTTGATGTCTGAGAACCTGACATTAGGCTTAATACTGCCCCCTATTGGATGTATTACTTAAGATCAATGCAAAGCATCAGGCCTAATGTGGGCAGTGATGTTGGACGAACCTATTCACGAATGTAAATTTATGACTGATACCAATTAAAAAGTGTAAATTGTTTCCCAGCACTATTTTTTTAAATGTATTATTCATTTCTTACAGTTACCGTCTGATTAAGCGTCATTCTGTAACTCTTCTTCTTCATCCTCAGGTGCAGCCTCTGCCACATCTTCCTCTTCTGCCTCCCACTCTGCATCTTCCTCTTCCTCCTCTTCCTCCTCCGGTGGGGAGTCGTCTTCAGACGCCATCTCCGCCTCAGTTTGAGGTCTTTCTGTCTCCTCTTCTCCTGCTGCCTCCGTCTCCTGCTCCAACGTTTCCCTCTTCTCTTCAGCAGCTGAATCATCTTGAACCTCGCCTCCTTCAGACTCCTCCTCGTCACCTTCCTTCATCTCTGAAGTCGGCTCCTCTTCTACACTTTGTTCACCTTCCTTTACACCCTGTGTGGAGTCCGCTTCCTCCTCGTCCTCTTGAGGGCGCCCTGATTCCACCTCAACGTGCTCTTCATCTTCACCTGCTTCCTCTTCTACATTCATATCCAACGTTGCTGCTGCTTCTTCTTCTTCTTCTTCTTCAGCTGCTGTCACGGCAGGAGTCGTTTCCTCCACCGTCTCGTCCACAGACTCAGCCGCAGGAGGCAGCTCACTTGCCAGCTATGTGGAGGAAAATATAGAAATGCGTGAGATCTGAAACCATGGACCAGATGTTTTAGATTAAGATGTCGATGGATTTCCTAATTAGCCAAAGTGATTCCATTTCAGGCTAATGAACAGGAAGTCTCAGTGGAAATTCACTCAGCGAACAGAAATAGTGAAGGACCATGTGTGCCGACAGTATACATTAACATTCTCTACTGTATTCTCTAATACTATCTATATTAGGGAGTGTCAAACATATGGCCCGCGGGCCAAAAACCGGCCTGCTGGGTGGATCAATCCTGGCCCGCTTGATGAATTTTGAAAGTGGAAAAAAAATGAACACAAAGCACAAACATTTCTTATCTGTTATGTTTTGTCAAATTATATTTGATTAAATATGAATATTTTCTAACATACTTGTGCTTATTTGCAGGAAAACAATTGGGGGAAAATGAATTGTTACTTATAATGCGAGATGACCAAAAAAAAAAAAAAAAAATCTCTTGCGACCCACCTGAGGGTCACGTACCAGTCTTTGGGAAACAATGATCTATACTATATTTTCACATTACAAAGTCTTTGGCTCAGACTTTTTGGTGTCTTAACAACAAGAGGTAAACAAACAAATGCATTTATTGTTGTAATAATTTTTGGTTGCTCTGAGATGGAGATGTTGCTCGTTAGTAAACCGCTGGCCCCGTGTAGACATAGGTGATACATGGCTGCTGTAAGTGGACGGCACGTTGCTAAGCTACAAAGAGTGTTTTGTTTTTTGTTTTTGTCACCTTTGCTACTTGGCTCCTTATGTTGTCCAGCTGGGCAGCGAGTCCAGACTGCAGACTCTGTACTGATGAATCTTGGTCCTGCAGAGCTTCACGTATCAGACTGAGCTGCTCCTCCACACTGACCAACTGGAGCTGATGAGACTCTTCTTCCTTCTCAAGCAGCTCTCTGGAAGACAGAACATAAACAAATACAGAGTTTTTATTTTTTATTTAATGAATGAATGAACAGTGATGATGAAAACTGTGGAGTACAGCACACGCAATTCATGGGAATTTTTTTCCAATAATTTTTTTTTTAAGATATCTTCGAGGATTTGTATTTAGGAAAACTATTTTTTAAACACACTATATGTAATTATATTGAACCCATTAATTAATTAGTTACTTCAGTTCTTTTGTCCCATGTACAAAAGGGGGCGCTGCAGGAATTGTCCTGTCACAAAGCTCAGCCCCTTCATCATATTACTCAGTTCTGTGTGATTGTTGCTTGTTCTGATGATGAAAAAAGTTTCAGTTCAAGTTTGAAGCTCTGCTTCTTTTTCTCTTTTCTTTCCTCTGACCCTACCTGACTGCAGCCATCTCCACAGTGCTGGCCTTCAGCGCCCCCTGCTGCGTGTCCAGCTGCTCCTTCAGGGGCAGCATTTCGGCGG